GGGGGGGGGGGGGGGGTGCAGGGACACATGGAGACAAGCAGCGCCCCCCAGGGAGGTGCCGGCCCTGCAGCCTCAGGGACCCCCCCCCGTAGCACCCCCAAATCTGCACTCCTGCTCATCCCTTCAAGGTCACTTCCCTCTCTTGGCTGCAGGTAAGCTGGACCCGGACACCTGTCCTAACCCTCCCTGTATCCAGAGCCTGTCCAGCTCAGGCCCTTGTGGGAGCGACCCTCCCCGGGGCTCGGCGGGAACAATCCCCGTTCCCAGGGGGAGACTCAGCCCGTCTCAGCAAACACACACACTGAGCCCTTGCTTCTGGGTGCCACGTGGGGCTGTTGGGAGGGCACAGCGTGACCAAGACCCCGCTGTCTCCTGAGGCCACGGTGCAGGAGGTACGCAGCCAGCTGTGTGCTTTGTCCAGAGTGCGTACACATCACCAGCAAGTTGAGGGGCCGCCTCGGGCCTCCGCCAAAGCCCACACTTGGACGCAGCAAATGTCTACGCTGGTTATTCACGAACACTCACTGAGGCCCTGCTGGGCGCCAGGCACAGGGGATATGCCAAACCGCAGCCCTGCCCTTCTGGAGGGACCGTTCCAGAGGGAACAGACTGCTGACAGTGACAGCCGGTGAGCGGATATCCGATGTCACGGGGACAAGGCACAGAGTCGGGATGGGACCGTCGTTGCTTCAGATGGGGCCCTCAGAAGCCCCCCGGGAATGTGCTGTCTGAGCGCAGACGGAAGGAAGTGGGGTGGGGACGGTCCAGGAGTCAGCTGAGGGAAGATGCGGGAGGAGCAGGAAGAGGACTCGGGGGACAGGTGGCCATAGGCCTGGGGCACGGGGAGCGCTCGGGCAGTGCTGCAGACTTTGGGGCAGGGCTTTGCGAGCTGCGTCCAGCTGTTCCAAGAAGCAGGGCCTGACGGTGGGCAGGGGACAGCCGGGCACCGGTGAGGATGCCCCGTGGGAGGAAGCCAGACGCGGCCCTCACGGCGGACGGGGCCAGCGAGTCTTCCTGACAGACCGGCCACGAAGGGGGAGAAGAGCAGCCGCGGCCGCTGAAGGCTTCGGCCTCGATAACAGGAAGGGCCTTCCATCAGCAGACGGGAAGGCCGCAGAGGGCCCGACGGGCGAGGACACAGCCAGCCGGGAGTCCAACGGTGGTCTGGGTGGGGGCTGCACGGACGGTGTCCATGGAGGGTGCAGCTCGGGGGGAGCGGGATGCAGACGGTGTCCACATCAGGAAACTGGGTGAGGCCACCAGGGAAGGTGTGTGGACGGTCAAGGGCACCAGGCCTGAGCCAGGGCCTCTAACATTAAGGGATGCGCGAGACTCCGAGATCAAGCTCCCCCAACACCAAAGCAAGAACTTTAGTAACGAAATAACTTATTTGCTAAGGATGGACTGTTTGTGTGAGGTGTGAGCGGGGCCTCAGGAGAGGATTAGATCACGAAGTGGGGGGGAGGGGGGGCCCACGAAAAGACTGGCGCTCCTATAACATGGTCCCCAGGGAGCCCTGGACCCCTTCAACCCTGGGAGGACACAGTGAGGGCACCAGCTCTGAATGAGGAAGCAGGTCCCCCCCCGGGCACGGAGCCAGTTGGCACCCCGGTCCTGGCCTTCCAGCGCCCAGAGGAGACAGAAGGAAACGTGTGGTTTATGGACGATGCAGGCCGGGATGGTTTGTTACAGCAGCCAGAACGGATTGAGGCAGTATTTCAACTTCCATTTTCCAAAACACCAACTTACAAAGCTGCTCACGTGTTTAGTTCCACGCCTTCCCCAAATCCCTTACGTTACGATCCCGAGTGAAACGTCAGTTCAACTAACAAGAGTGGAGGCACTTAAGTTGTTTGAATGACGAGGCAGGATTTACGGCCACCTCTCCCAACGTTTCTGGGCCTGGGTTTGGAGAAGGCGATGGGTGGGGGGAGGGGGGGAGGCTGTGCCCAGCCCAGATGGTCACACAGCCCCCCGGCTCACCTGAGAACGGCCCCAGGACTGTCTGGGTCATAGGACTGGGATCCCCTGAGGACGACGATGAACGAGGGGGCTCTGGAGATGAACAGGTGCGTGCCCTCGGAGATGACGCTCACGGGGGCCCGGGCTCGCACCTCCACCCCCACACGGTAGCTGCTGTGCACGACGCTGCCTTCCACCTGAACCTGGGAACACCGCCGACAAGGGGGCATCACCCGGGGGACTGGGCAGGACACCCTCCGGGGTGGACGCTCCTCTGACTCTGGAAGGAAACTGGGGCATCTAAATGTGCCGTTGGCTCCAACAGCGGCTCCGAGCGCTGCACCGAGAGGGTCCGTTATTTCCAACCCCAGCCAGTCACCTTCGCCAGGCAAACAGCCTACTATGTGCCCGGTGGAAGCAGAGTGGCTGAAGCCGGTGAGGATGGGGGCATTCGCTCACCACATCTGGAGGGCACACGGAGCTGGGACTCCTAGGTCTGGGGACAGAGCAACACCGTCAGTAACATGGCCCCATCCACTCAGTCCAGATGCCAAACCTACTCCACAGACAGGGAGTCTGTCCGTCTGTCCGTGGTCTTGGACGGCACTGGCGACTTCCTTCAAACTACATTTCTACCCCCATGTGATCGATGCTCTTGAAGCAAGTAAATGAACTTTGAGACAAATACTCTTCAACTCAGGAATATGGAACAGTTTATGAAGAAGGCATTTGCAAGGGTTCTCTTAGAAGTTTGATGCAACTTTAAAACCAAATAGAGCCTAACACCTGCTGCTCTTTTCACGGGTCCTGGCTGGGTCCTCCGTGACTTTCTCCAAAAACGTACCCATGGTCCCTGCTAGCGGTTCTCCCGAGAGCGGGCCTGAGGGCGATCCACCGTCTCTGATTACACTCCAATCTGCCTGCCCAGCTCCTCCCGCCCAAGAAGCCAACAGGAACGTCCAGAGACGGGGACGTGCAGGGTGGGGGAACCCGTCAGGACAGTGACGGCAGGAGGTCTGGACATCTGAGGGAGTGGCCCCCGAAGGCGAAGTGATGACATGAGCTCGGATCTCAGCAAAAGCATCTTCTCAAGTCGGGTCGCCACGACTCGGACAAAGACACATCCGTAGCCCACTCAACACCAACGACACAGCTGATGAGGGAGTGTGTCAACCAGCGGAGCCATTGAGCTCTGAGGCGTGGACCGCAACCTTGACCCTTCCCACGTGGGCAGGTGAGGGCACCTGTGACCCCACTGTCCGGATCTCGGGGAAAAGGGACTCTCAAGCACTGGATGCATGAAGCTACCAGCACTGGGCCTCATCAATCATTTCGATGCCCATCTCTGTGCACCTTATCCAACGGCACGCGCTAGCTCAGAGCTGCAGGATGGAGAGGAAACCCATGGCCACACGGCCCTGTCCACTTCTCTTTTTGCCAGGTCACAGAGCACTGACTCGTGACCTTACACAGTATGAACCAGCCTCTGCATGAATGACTGTTTCTAACCATGACAATGGTACTTGTAATCTGCAGGGTTCGGAGCCACACCACAGGGAGATGGGCATCCGTGCCAGGCCTCCGGGCAGGGGGCCAGACCGCCTGTCTTGGGAACTGTCCTCCACCCCATTCGTGCCCAGCTGGAACAGGGGTGGTTAGGCTGGTCACACGGTCCACACCATGACCGCACTGGGTCTGCTCTGGGCCACGTCTGTCCAGCTGAAATCTGCCCTTCTGGCAGTCACTCCCCAAGAACCTCAGTGACAAGGAGACCCCCAAGACTGGTCACAGAACAGGAATGCCTGCTTGGTCTTGTCAATGTGATGACGGACAGTAAAGATTTTAAGCCACGTTAAACCAAGAAAAAATATAGACCATTTCAGGAACAAGTGATTTCAAGAATATAATGGGGGTGCCTTGGGTGGCTCAGTCAGTTGAGTTGACTTTGGCTCAGGTCATGATCTCATGGTTCAGTTCATGAGTTCGAGCCCCGCGTCGGGCTCTGTGCTGACAGCTCAAAGCCTGCAGCCTGTTTCAGATTCTGTGTCTCACTCTCTCTCTCTGCGCCCTCCCCTGCTTGTGCTCTGTCTCTCAAAAATAAACAAACATTAAAACATTAAAAAAATAAAATAATAACTGGGGCACCTGGGTGGCTCAGTCAGTTAAGCATCCCACTTTGGCTCAGGTCATGATCTCACGGCTCATGGGATTAAGCCCCATATCAGGCTCTGTGCTGACAGCTCAGAGCCTGGAGCCTGCTTTGGATTTTGTGTCTCCCTCTCTCTCTGCCCTCCCCTACTTGTGCCCTGCCTCTCTCTCTCTCTCAAAAATAAACATTTAAAAACAGGGAGTATTACTAATAAAACATTTCTACTATTTAAAAATTAACAGATCCTTATGATGCTTATTATAGACATACCAAATCTTGTCTCGTTTTCAGGCTCCTTCACCTGTTCCATTCCCAAAACACAAGGGCTGCCTGCTGGGGCTCCTCCCTCCTGCTCCTGTCCTCGCTGCTCAGAAAGTGTCCCAAATGGACACTCTGCTCTCCTGAGGGAAATGGAGAGCAGTCTCACTGTACTCCATGCACTCGGTCTTGACCTTTGCGTTTTCCATTTCACTTGTGCGAGTAATCACGAGGGTAGGTGACTGGCCGTAAACCCACCTGCAGTCACCTGTTCTGCCTTTCTGCCCACGGCCACTGTGCCATTTCAGCCTCCTGTTGCCTCTGAGTTCACCATTAGAGCGCTCCAGAGTGATGGAACGTTCCAGAGAGTATTCAGTAGTGAAGTCCCATCCTTCAGTCTACTCCCAACTCTTCCCTAATTAATACTTCTGAAGTAAAGTGTGGTTCCCACTCTGCTGCCTCTGACTTTTCCTGTGGCCTTCGTCTGCAACGGTGCTACTGTGGCCATCACCCGGCCCTTGGGGAGGGGTCCAGGGCACGGTGGGACGAGCACAGATGTGGCAAGGAAGCATGTGGAAACCCTGATCGTGGTGCAATGCTGCTGAGACACGCAAGCACATGTCACTGCTCCCAGTGTGTGTGCTGGTGTCCCCAGGGACCTGAGGGACCCACGCTGGTCCCTATGCATAGGACAGGCCCTCATGTCCCAGATGAAGGAACAAAGCCACCTCCCTATGGAGCTGGGGCAGCACCGGTGGTCTCCAGTCCAGTCTTTACACCTGCCAGGCAGACCCCAGACCCCTCACCAGGTCTATTCCCCACTCGCCCTGCCAGCCTGTGCCCCCTCGCGAGCCCTAGTCTCCTTCAGGGTCTTGGCCCCGGCTGCTGCCTCCCACGTCCTGTGCCCCATGAAGCCAACTCTCCTAGAAGAGACCACGACCTACTGTCACCATTTTTCCAGCCAAACGCAGCAAATGTCAGGACCGGCCTGGTCACCAGGGTGCCCTGGTGGCCCTGCTCTCTAACATCCCCTCCCTTCCCAGGCAGCGGGCCCCTTGATGACACAAATACACCTTTAACATCCCGGGACTACCTCGGTGACATGGTCAAAGCAGGTGCACAGGAAGCTTTTGCTAAACAAGGAGATTTTCACGATTACTCTGTCCCCATTTGGACATAAAATGTGTTAAAGGAATCAAGCACTTCTCGAGATTCCAGCCACACCTGTTGTGACAGCCCTCTTTTTCTTGGACAGAGCAGGCTGGGGTAACAGGGGCCGGGGTCCTGTTCGGAGGCTGGTGGAAAGCACGCTGGCCGGTCACTCACCTTGGCAAGTGCAGTGTAGTTCCCGGGCTGCAGGAAGTAGCCGGGGACGGTGAGGGTCTGCCCGTGAGTGCTGACAGCAGCGGGCAGGGGCACCCGTGCCCCCTCGGAGTTCCAGAAGGTCCAGGTGTAGGAGAGGCCTTGGGAGATGTCACAGAGGATCGCAGACTCGAATGTCACACCCAGGTTCACGGGCTGAGATCTCCATACCTGCAGGTTAAAGAGAAAAGAGTCTCGAAAGGTCCATTATGCCTGATGCCACAGAGAAGCATCAAAACTTACTCTCAACATAGGGCACCAGTGACCCTCTTGCATAATCACAGGGTGGGCCCCTTACAGCTGGAATACAAAACACTGAAACAAATACACATTCTTCCTGCAGACAAAATCACGAGTCAATATACAAAAACAAGAAAGAATACATGAATGTTTATACTTATATACCCATGAGAGGAAAAATCCTTCTAAGCATAAGATTAATGGGAAAATATGAAAGGGAAAAGGTGAATAGATCTGATTCCATAGAAATTTAAACTTCTGAACAGTCAAATATAGTTTCAAAAAGATATCCACATAGAAAAGAAACACATGGGTAAAATACATGGAAGTTAGTATTGTTTAAAACTTTTTTATGTTTATTTTGGAGAGAGACACAGTGACAGAGTGTGAGTGGGGGAGGGACAGAGAGAGAGGGAGGCACAGAATCTGAAGCAGGCTCCAGGCTCCGAGCTCCAAGCTGTCAGCACAGAGCCGGGCACGGGGCTCGAACCCACGAACTGCGAGACCAAGGCCTGAGCTGAAGTCGGACACTTAACCACTGAGCCCCCCAGGCATCCCAGTATCGTTAAAAATCAAGAAATATTAGGGGTACCTGGTGGCGCAGTGGGTTAAGCGTCTGTTTTCTCATCTTAGCCCAGGTCATGATCTCACAGCTCGTGAGTTCGAGCCCCGCGTCAGGCTCTGCACTGACAGTGAGGGGCCTGCTTGGGATTCTCTCTCTCCCTCTCTCCCTCTCTGCCCCTCCCCCACGTGTGTACACTCTGTCTCTCTCAAAAACAAATTTAAAAAGAAAGAAACTGGTATTTATTAAAATTGGAATGTGACTTTTGACGTTGTGTCCAGTGACAGTGGCATTCTCCTGATGCATTTCAGATGATTTCCTGTTTTTCTTTACACTCTTAGAAAATGTGTTTGAGACAAAAAAACTATGAAGAAAAAACGGACTCGTCAATGTTGTTTTATTTTAAAAATGAAAAAAACTTGAGTACTCTTTTTTGTGGAAAACCACCCCAGGAGGTGCCTGGCTGGCTCAGTCAGTAGAATGTGCCACTCTTGATCTCAGGGTTGTGAGTTCGAGCCCTCGCTGGGTGTAGAGCTTACTTAGAAAACAAAAAAAGAAGAGAACCCCAGATCACACAGCCAATACACAGTTTGAGCCACATGGCGTGGAGTCAACTCGACCTTGTTTAACCAGGGAAAACCCCCATTTGGTGGCTCAACCCAAGAGCAGAGTCAGGATTTAAGCGCAGACCCCTCTCCCCTGATTCCAGGGGGACCCATGTTAGGCCTAATGGCCATGTTAGGGGTCCCCCCTGACCTTCTGTCCATGTCCCCGACCCAGAGAGCCCACTGCCCGTGCAGACTGACGACCCTGTAGGCACATGCTGGCCTCATGGGGGCATGGGTCTCACTTGTAAGAGACTGTCACTGTCCCGTAGGGCCCACATGGCCAGGAACCACCCGGGCCTTGCCTGAGGGACTGTGTACCCCCCGATCCCCACTGCTTCATCTGGGGTAGGAGGTCCCCAACCCAAGACCCTGGTCAGCAGCCCATCAACGGCCTCTGATGCCAGAAAACCACGGGACACATTCGGGCAAATGCAGCCGAGTCCCAGGCTTTCACTCCGTGTGTCACTGGACACTTCTGCCCTGAAAGGGGAAATCCGCTCCACACGAGAGGCCTCAAAGGAACAAAAGGAATAAAAAGTGGCCCTACTTTTCCTAACCCATAGTAGGCGCTCAGGAAAGGGCTGGCTGACACCGTGTGTACCCGAACATTCCCTTCTCCTGACAACACTTCCGTGCTTTGCACCAGCAATTTCTGGAAAGCTTCTCAGAGCCAGCGGCTCTGAGCACCAGAGGAAGAGGGGAGAATGAAGGCCCAATCAGCCCGGAAGGAGGACCCCTGGGCCTGGCTCTGGGCGCTCAGAGGCCCTCAGAAGCGCCGCCTCGCGTCCGGCACGGAGGGCCAGTTGCACAGAGCCTCCCTTTACTGCCCCAAGTGCCGTCGTTCCGGCCCAGCCCTACCTGCACCTTCCCCGGCCCCATGTTCTTCACCGGGGGCGGCTGGCAGGGCTCACGCACGACGAAAATTTGCTTTCTCAGGGAGGCGGTGCTGACATCGTTGAAGGCGAGGACCTGGACGGTAAACTCCCCTTCCCTGGAAGGGCCACAACGCACAGGAATGAAGAGACTGAGCCCGTCCGTCTGTCCCTCCTCCTCCGGGACACCCTCCATCGGAGTGAGTGTAGGGACTCCGAGCCGGGAGGCTCAGACCCGGACCCGGGTGGCCCGCACTTCGTCCACTCCTAACCTTGAACGAGGCTTCCCGTGGGCACGTCCACCTCCCCAGGCAGGCCTAGCTGTGCATGGATCTCCAGAATGCCTCACGCCAGGTAAACAGTGGGTGCTCAATAAATACCGAATGAAAGGACACAGCCCAAGCGCCTCAGGATGACAGAGAGGCCCTTCGCAGTCTTCCGAGCCCCTTCTACCCGCGTCAGGCCCCCACCCCTCGTCCAACTGCCCTCTCCGTGCCTCCTGGGGCTGAGAACGTCCATCTTCCTCCTGCCGTCCCCAGACCAGGAGCTCCCGGGGAGCAGCTGGGTTTACATGTCATTCTTCAGTATCTGCCGACGGCATGCGCTGCGGGGTCGGTTAGGAGACCCTTATGTGCCGGCCGCCGCGTGCAGAGCCCTGCCTGCGCCTGAGACCCTCACCTGCTGTAGCTGTGGCTGGCAGAGCTGCCCCCCGGGCCCACGGCGCCGTCCCCAAAGTCCCACAGGAAAGCGACGTCGCTGCCGAAGTTGAGTCTGCACTCAAAGGTCACGCTGGTGTTGAGCAGAGCTGAGGACGGGGACGCGAGCCGATTGGCGATGATTCTCCTCTGCGCCCTGATGCGGTGGGGCTCCGAGGCCACCCTGCCCAGCCTGCTGGAAGCCTGCACCGTCACGCTGTACCTGGGGGAGGGCGGGGGGCGGGGACCGAGGAGGGGGCAGGTAGGGCAGGGGGAGACAGGAACAGGTCAGGGGCAGAGAACCCCGCCTCACTGCCCGAGAAAGGTCGGGGTGGGCACGGTCCTCCACAGGGCTTTCCCACTTACTGGGGGGCCACCCCTCGGTCATTAGGTCAGTCACCTCCAGAGTGGGAGGGGGGAGGGCCAAGCACTGGGACCCCTCCTTGGAGGGGGAATTTACCCAGGTGGGGGAGATGGGATCTGAACCCAGGAAAGTTTGGTTCCAAAGCCCCACACATGCCCCTGGTGCAAGCGGGAAGGAAGGAGCCTCTTCTTTAAATTCACATTTGAGGGGCGCCTGGGGGCCCAGACAGTTCAGCGTCCAAGCCTCTGACTTCGGCTCAGGTCATGATCTCACAGCTCATGGGATTGAGCCCTGAATCGGGCTCTGTGCTGACAGCTCAGAGCCTGCTTAGAATTCTCTCTCTCTCTCTCTCGCTCTCTCTCTCTGTCTCTGCCCCTCTCCCGCTCACACTCTCTCCCAAAATAAATACACTTAAAGAAATCAAAGTTTAAAAATGAAAAAATAAACAAATGTACGTTTGAAGTCCCATTTGCGGACGCACCAGCGGCACTAAGTGTGAATGTAGCTCGAGGTCGTGGCGGGGAGATCTGTACACTGAGCTACGGCCACACTGCCAGCAGCCACCCCTCGTGATGCCCATTGACTGACCACTGGGGGATGCGGAGTCTTTTCCTAACGCTCCTGGAAGTTGTCCTCACGGGTGGGCCTTCTCCGAAATACCACAGGAACTCCAGGGGGACCGTCTCCTTGGTCACAGCCAGAAAGGTGATGTCGGTGTCGGTGGCAAACACGGTTCCGTTAGTGTAGACAGAGACGGCTGTGTACGTGAGGGAGGTACGGATGCTTCGGGCCATCCAGGGACCCCAGCCTCCTCACCTCCCACACGGTCGGGCGGGAAGGCAGGATCCTGAGCCCGCTGACATACAGGCGGCCCCAGTGCAAAGGCCAGCAAAGTCCTAAAGTGACGGGGCCGATTCCCTGTGAAATCTCCTGGAAAGCGTCTGGTACGGGTTCAGGTGCTCCCAGAGGATTCTGCACCATAACCCACCCCGTACCTGCAGGCTGAAGCCTCGCGGTGGGTGGTTTCTAGAAAGCCCTACAACAAACTACAGGGAAACAGAGCTAGTTCAAGGGCAAAAGAAAATCTCAGCAGAGCTAATCGCAGACACTGGCATTGCCCAGGGCCCTCGGTGATCCCGACTGACTCTGACAAGTCTCGAATCAGAAAGGGAACATACGCTGCATCTGGAACCGAACAGTCACGGGTTTCCACGCCTGGCCGCCGCCCGCTCGTGTCCGAGAAGTGAAGGACACGTTCCACGAGGGCCCAGTTGGAAAACGATGTGTGACGACAGTGCCTACGCGGGAAAACACAAAACAGAAAACGTGGTGACGATCTTAAAAATCCACTCCTCTGTCTCAAGCAACAGATGGTCCCCAGTTTCCATTTTTTACTCTCTCTCTCTGAATCCCAGTGGATTTCAAAATTCTGAAGCCCGAGGTTTGGAATCAGACAAGCCTGCGGAACGTGAACCCGTCACAGAATGTTTTTCGCGGGAATCCTGTGTTTTCTCTTCTCCCCCAGGAACTGCCTGGCGTGGCAGTAACTGTTAATTCCTTTGCTGGATGGCCTCGTCTTTAAAGGGCCTCCCCGGTGCGCACCAAGGAGTGTCTTACTTCACAAGGGCTCCTAACAGGGTCAGGCGGGGGCAAGCTTTTAACCCCTCGGACACGCAGTGCAAAGGGCTGCACACACATGATACGTGTGCACACACGTACACATATATGCACACACGCGTGTGTGCGTGTACCGGGAGGGCAGGCACCCCACATGGTGTCAGGGTCCAGAGCAGGACCGTCGTGTCTGGGCACACTGGTCTGCTGGGACAGGAGGAGAGGAGACGGGTCTTTGTTCTCAGGGACTGGTGTTCTGTGCAGCTCTTCTCTTCACGGAGACAAAATCCTCTTTTATAACAACGGTAACGTGCAGTGGGTATTTTGTTCTTCATCAATGCTCTAGAATATTTTTTTAACGTCTATTTATTTTTGAGAGGCAGAGCGTGAGCAGGGTGGGGGCAGAGAGAGAGGAGACACAGAATCTGAAACGGGCTCCAGGCTCTGCACGGACAGCAGCGAGCCCGACACGGGGCTCAAACTCGTGAACCGTGAGGTCATGACCAGAGCCGAAGTCGGACGTTCAACTGACTGAGCCACCCAGGTGCCCCAGTGTTTTAGAATTTCTGAAAAATAAATATCTCATGTCTAAGAGTGACAGCATCTCACTGACCACACCTACAACTCAGTTCTGACCAGGACATAGTCACCAGCTGGGAAGAGGAACCACGACGTACGAATCTGCACGAGACTACTCGGGTGGTCCATCTGTGCCGGGTCTCCCGATCCCAACTCCCAGTGCAGACCCGAAGGGCACAGACTAAAATGCCTCCTCCCTGTGTTTTGTGACATCCTGGACAGAGAGGCACTCACGGGGCTAAGTGTATAGAGAGGGTGCGGTCGGTGTGTAAGATCCCATGAGTGTCATCCGGACACGTCCTTGCTGGCCTCTCCTTTTCCCTGCTTCCGGGAAACATAACCCCTAATTCCATCCCCTGAGGGAGTATCTCTGACGGGTGCCCACACTCGCCCACGACTCTTCTTCCCACGTGTTGCTGATATCTGGCTGGGATCCTCCACTCCCACTCCACTGGCCTCCAAGCCGGGTCCCTTACAACACTGAGCGCCAAGGGAGCCCCCGCCGGCGGCTGTGGGCCTGATGTGAGCGAAGAGGGAGAAGAGCGCCTGGCACCCTGTGAGCATTCAGCCACCTGCAGCACCCGTCGGGCCTCCTCTCTGTGCGCGGACTCACTGCCACGTTGTCAGCCCCAAATGCTCTCCCTGCACCCGTTACCTCGCGGCAGACCCACTCCTCAAGGCCCATCGTGGACTGCTTACCCTGTAGGTGCACACGATCCCTCCCGAAACCTCCCAGGCCCTGGCCGTGCCCTTGGGGACGCAGCTCCATGTCCTGGCTCCTGTTTTTCAGACGCAGACCTCCATGTGTTTACTAGACTGTGAATCCTGAGACAAGGACTCTGGACGTGCCCCTCAGAGCACAGTACTGTGCAATCAGTGCTTGCTGAGCGAGGCGCGGTGAGGCAGGAGCGCGTGTCTGGATGGGGAATGGCTATGCCCTGCACCATACAACGCCAGCACAGAGGCTCGCCGCGTCCAGAGTGGAGGGCGGGAGGTTCAGACCCCGGGTGCAGCTCTTACCTTTCTGATCCGTGCGGGAGTCCGTGAGGACAAGAAGCCCGTCTTTGTGGATGCTGCTGGAGTTCATGGACACGGACACGGTCGCAGGGCCGATGTCCACATAATAGGGGCCGAGCTCCTTTTCAGTTCCACAGAACTCACTGTGAATAACTGCCTTGAGCATGTAGACTCCTTCTGGAAAAGGGAGGAAGAATGACCACTAGATGAACCATTAAAAATATGTGCAACATCAAACCTGCATGGAAGGGCAGCGACGGTGATGACACTGGGAACTGACACAGCAGAGGCGACTTTCTCTTTCAGGGGGGCCACGTCCTGGGCATGGGACACCCCGCAGGCGGGCCATGTCGTGGGCATGGGACACTCCACAGGGCCCTGCGTGGGTTTTAGTGCTCCGCTGTGGTGAAAGTCTTAATAATTTTCATTAACAAAGGGCTCTGCATTTGCATTTTGCCCTGGGCCCCGGGAGTTCTGCTGTGGTACATATTCACAAGGATGGAGACAGACCCTGGTCACCCCACCACTAGGCAAAACAATACAGTGGTTGTGAATATCACAAGCACAGACAAGAACACGCGGCACACAACTGCCCTCTAATGAAGTGGGGGGGGGGGGTGGTGGCGCTGAGCTGGCTGGCAGGCGGGAGACCACTGAGCACATAAAACACTCCACAAAAGTTAAGACGGGGAGCCCCTGGGTGGCTCGGTCAGTTGAGCATCCGACTCTTGCTGTCAGCTCAGGTCATGATCTCACAGTTCATGAGTTCGAGCCCTGCATCGGGCTCTGTGCTGACGGCTCGGAGCCTGCTTGGGATTCTCCCTCTCTCTCTCTCTGCCCCTCCCCGACTCCCACTGTCTCTCTAAATAAATAAATATATATTTGTTTAATCTTTCCGGGGGCACTTGTGTGACTCAGTCAGCGGAGCATCCGACTTCAAATCAGATCATGATCTCCCCATTTGTGGGTTCGAGCCCCACTTTGGGCTCCCTGCTGTCAGCACAGAGCCTGCTTCAGATCCTCTGTCTTGTTCTCTCTCTGTCCCTCCCCAACCTGTGCTCTCTTTGTCAAAATTAAATAAAAAAAAAATTTATAAAAAAAAATTTATAAAAAAAAAGCAGAAATTAATAAACTTAGGGGAGGAATGTAATTAATGAAATTCAAAGACTGGTCCTTTAAATAAACCAATGAAACTGTGCCTGACCCAGTCAAGGACGAGGAGAAAGCATAACCCAGAAACAAGACGCGGCAGAAGGAGACACCCATGAACACTGATGAAACGTAAGGAGCCGTTACTGCCCGCTTGGCTCACTTCGTGCAAATACACACGACAACCGGGGTTCAGTGGATGCTTTCCCAAGAAAATGTAACTTAAAAAAACTAACTGCAACAGAAATAGAAAACTTCAACAGTAAAAATAAACTCTTTCATTTATTTTTTTTAAGTTGATTTATTTATCCTGAGGGGGAGGGAGGGGCAGAGACAGAGAGACAGAGAGAGAGTCCCAAGCAGGCTCCATGCTGTCAGCGCAGAGCCCAACATGGGGCTGGATCCCATGAATGGTGAGATCATAACCTGAGCTGAAATCAAGAGTTGGATGCTCAACTGACTGAGCCACCCAGGAGCCCAAAAATAAAA